ATAATATTTTCATTTTATAAAAATTCATTTCTTATCTTTTTTATTAAATAAAAGGTAAGCAAAAATTTTTAGTGAAAATTATTTTAAATATCCTAATACTTTGGTAGCATTTTAGCAAAATTTTCTTATCTAGAGATTCTTAAAAAATTACTAATCTAACTTCTTTATGATCTTAACTTTGGAAAAATTTTTTTTTTCCTCAATTAAAAAAAATAAAATTAATTAATGCAAATAATATTCATGCATTATTATGTAAGCTTGCTGAACAGGTGATTGTGATCTTGTAAACTTAGGTACATTTACCATTTTGGCTGAGATCAGTGTGGGGTTAAAGAATCATCATTGCTTGTGTATCTCTAAAATGACCTATTTTTGGACATCAAACTTCTTAGTGTTAATTGGTATATGAAGGCTGTTTTATGAAGGGGCATTTCACCTACAATTCTTTTTATTATAATACCACAATTATCCAATCATAATAAAGAATTATGAAGGGGTTCATCACTTAGGGCTCCATATAAAATTTTGATGAATTCCACACAATAATGAATTGTGGCTGATTAATTGTAGTACAATGATTGTAAGTGATATGCTCCCGTTATATGGACTCTTGGAAACTCTAGGTATCTGAAGATCTTTTGTAGACAGAATAAATTAACCATCATAAGAGCTGGTTACTGTTAAAATATTTTAGGAAAAAGAATCTGTAGAAATGTCATATTAGATTTTTTGTATGTTAAGAGTAGATTTGAAATGAACTCAAGGAGGTAGGCATAATAACAACTCTTAAAAATATAAAGTCCTAATGGTAGGGAGGCTTATCATGTTCTATACTACTATAATCTCATATATAAAAGATAGAATCCATTAATGTTTAAGTACTACTATAATGTTTCCATGAAGATAATAATATTGTAACATAGTATCAATATTGAGGTTATTTTCAATTACCTGAAAATTGCCACGTGGTTGTATGCATTGTGACATCTTCCCCAATGTTAAGGGAGATTGCACTAGCATAAAATGTCTGAATATCATGCTGGGATTTTCAAGAATAAGTTTTGGAAGCTGAAGTAAATTCTATGCATGTAGAACGAGAATGATATTTTCTCCATCATTTCTTAAATTTTCGGAACTGTTGGAGCCAATAAAGTCACTAATGCTGTCAATATACTGGGGTTGACAAGATGAAGGAAGGAAAGTTATCTGTAATTTTGTTGATCATGTATTTCTTTGTTTTGGTATTGTGGATTGTGTTGTACTGCTAAGTTTTATATTGCTTTTGTTATAATCATCTCTTTTGCCGACTCATTTCAATTATTTTTTCTTAATAATATCTTTATAATTATTATCTTCTGGAATGATTAAAAATTTTGACGAGGGAATTTTTTTTCAGTTTATCATGCAGGCAAAGGCAATTTGCTCTTCAGATCCACTTGTATATAATGAGCTAGGAGTTGTTGCATATCATATGAAAGAGTAAGGATTATTCACCTTATCTTATAGTTAGATTTTTTAACTTGTTGAAGCATGTTTATAAATTTAATATATTGATACTGCTATGTTAGAAAATGAAAACCAGATTTAAAATGTTGTTGTTGTTATTATTATTATTATTATTATTATTATTATTATTATTTCCAATTGAATTTTGATCAATGGATGGGCACTTTAACTAGAAGGAAATTTTCAAACATAACTTGTTTGAAAATGAAAACTAGGGAACTATATAAAATGTTTGTGGTTATGGTCTCAAATTACATATACAACATATTTTGTGATTTAAATTGTCATTTCATTGCATACTTATTTTTTTGTAAAGATTCCATTGCAAGTTTATGTCATATATATAAATAAATCAATAAATAAATAAATATATATATAATATGTTTGTATTCCTTCTTAAGGTTATTTGGTTAAAGTTCTTTTAAGCTATATATCTAGTGTTAATCATTTAAAACACCATTTTTTTAAAAAAAACTTGCAGGTATAATCAAGCTGTTTTGGTGGTTTGAGAAAACATTGGCTCTTATTCCAATCCCAATAACTGAAATGTGGGAACCTACTGTGGTTAATCTCGCCCATGCTTATAGGAAACTAAAGTATTATATTTTCATTTTTTTGGAACTCCATGTTGTTTGTCAACTTTCTTTTCCCTCTTAACTCCATAATAATTTCTAGGCTTTTACCAATGCCTGAACAGAAAAATAAAAGTCACTACCAAAGTGTGTTTTTAGTCATAAGTTTGATTACATTGTCTATGGATGGTAGCATGGTTACTCTTGTGCATGATATAATTAGGGGAATTCTCAAAGTAGGTTGGTGGAATCATGGTTGTGTTTGCAATACCCTTGAGGAAACGGAAAGTGTTTGTCTTCTGTGCCACGCATAGTCTTGTGTATGTACATTGTTCTTATGAATATAGAGTAGCTGTATTTTTTGGCCTTGGTATTTCCTCTTTAATAGAAATATATATCTGCTGCAATTTGTTGTAAGGGTTCAACTAAATAATTTGGCTAGGGTCACAAAGATTTAGTCCCTTTTTAGTACTCCAGATACCGAAAGTGAAATTCCTCGAAGTTCAAATACAACCTAAGTATTACCTTATTCTGTATACAATAAGTTCCATTACATAACATAAAATACTACACATTTTTCATAATATTAGTATTGCATGCTCAATTTGTAATGGCATTAAATGCTACTCATTCCTTTTGAAAATTTTTGTCTCTATACAACATATGCATTCATCTGCAAGAGCCACCTTTAAAATTTCAGCGCAAGACAGATCATTTAGTTTCATCCATAATTCCTGTTTGATAAGAAGGAATGAAAGAGCAAATTTCGGAACCAGGACACAAACACTAATATAGCCATTGTTTGGTTTTTGTTAAAGCTGTTTACCGATGACCAAACTTCTATACCATTTTCTGTCAACATAGGTAACAGTGTTTTTTGTGCTAACGCTTGTGTTTGAGTAAGTCTAGATATCTATATGCTTTTGGCTGTAATTGAGAAGGTTTCCATTCTTTCAGTTTTCCTTTAAATTTTAAGATAGTATGTCTCAAGCTTTCAACTCTCTCTGCTGGGAGATTCAAAGACAATTTGCAATATCTTCTTGGTCTGGATTTCTCAAATGTAAACATGTACTAATTTTTATTTAACAAGAAAAAGGTTTCCCTTTGCCATTCCGCTTGAATGCCACAGAGGTACATGGAAAATGACATTTCTATGCATTTGTGTTTTCAAATCTTTTGCAAGAGTATAGATACTGGTTTGATTTTGGTGGTGTTAATTTGCAAAATGATTAGTGCAAAGCTCAATCTTTTGAGGCTAATTATATGTGCATATTGTGTGTCAGGATGTTTCATGAAGCAATCTCATTCTATGAGAAAGCACTTACGTTATCAACTAAAAGCTTGAGCACTTATGCCGGTCTTGCATACACGTACCATTTGCAGGTCTGTCCCTTTGCTGTCCTTGTATACTTCCTTTTTTAACAAAAGTTGTTATATTTTGTTAGGAATGCCTTGAGAATGAATTTTTCATTATGGTGGCTCTTTCAGACAGTACATGGAATTTTTTTTTAAGTTAGTGATAAGCTGATTACTGCTTCCGGACTTAATAAACTAGTTGGCAATGAGTCCTTAACATATATCCATCTCTGGGTGGGTTGGTCAATGGTGCTCATGATATAAATACTAGTGGGTTGTATTCTATGTACTTCGAGAACTTGAAGGAGGGTCAAAGCAAACAATTTCCCCTTCAATAAATGCAAGCAGTAAAGCAATAATGGGTTATGTTAAACGAACTATTCAGAACGTATAAGTTTCAAGTTGTGTATCTGCCTAGTTTCTTGTTTACAGTAGAATGTCTGACATAAGTGATTTTTTTTTTTTTTTTTACTTTTTGCAGGATAATTTCACTGCTGCAATCACATACTATCATAAGGTCAGTAATCAAGGATCTACTTTCATTGCTTTTATTTGAAATGTATCGGACCATCCCATCTCAGTGCTGCATCTCCTTTAAGCCTAGTTCGACATTGTTTAGTATCATGATTTTTGGAAAATATATTGTTTGTTTTCTATTTTTAAGTAAGATGTAATAGTAATTTGATTTTTTTTTCTTTGGTAAGAGTTGGAGGATTGCTGAAGTACAGCTTCAATGCAATTTATTTCTTTTTTGTCCTAAATCTCTGAATTTATTCTTCCTATTCTTGTTTCCTAAACAGGCTTTATGGCTGAAACCAGACGATCCATTTTGCACTGAAATGTTAAATGTGGCTCTTGTAGATGAATGTCGACATGGCATAGACCCTAAAATTGATTTCCTCTGAAAAGGTTAGAAGTTTAATATCAATTTTGTAATAATATTCTTTGTATTGTTAAATGTAATATGCATGCAACATTGACAATTAATTCCTGTGGCTAAGAAGAAGAAGAATAATTTCTTACACAGTCCATCCATGAAGTTTTTAAATTTATGAGCAAACTTAGAAAATTGTCACATATTTTATTAAGATATATTTAAGCTAATAAATTAGCATGATAAATAAAACGACAGGCGATAATAATTTAATCTCACTTGTGAAGTGTATAAAAGAATAACTTATTATGTGCATAGCTCTAATTTTTTATGGTAAGCAATATATTGAGAGCATTTATGTGCATGATTTTTTTTGTTAATTTTTCTTTTTTTTTTTTACAAAATAGGAGGTAATTTAAAGATAAAATATGTTATAAGTTTTGCAATTTGAATTCAAGCTTGTTAATGTCATGGGAGATTGTATGAATTAACTTAATAATAAGTTACGGATTCATCTTTGTGTTTAAAATTTAGAATGGGCGTGGGGGCGTCTATAGCCCATTTACTGTGGCTTTTTTATGATTCTTGACATTGGACCCTTGGAAAGAGCTCTAAATGTCTTGTATAAAGTGCATAGATAGTGGTATGCATTGTGTAGGGATGTTGATGCTTAATTATAATAAACAAAAAGATAAGACACAATATATAAGGTTCATTGTTTAAGATAGTGCTTTAGTACAGTAGATGTAGATGACGACAATAAAAATAGATAAAAAGCTGATGTTGACAAAGCAAATGCTGCCTATACGGCACTAATTGAAGCACAGGAAAGCTCTCGGAAATGCATATTAATTTAGTTTTGGAACGGGCAGCCGTGATCAGTAGGTGAAGTCTCATGGCCAGTTTCTGATTCTGAGATTGACGGACCTTTCAATAGGCCAGCAAATAGCTCTCCAGGGTCATAGTAAATCTCAACTTCTTCTACCTTGAGAGATTCATCAACCTGTCAAAAGGAAAACCACCAGCATATATGAAAGCATAGTAAATTTTTCTTTTTTTCTTTTTTTTTTTTTTATAAACGAAAGTATATAATTATTTTTATTTCATAGAATTTACTCTACCTACCTCAATTCCAACTAAAAACTTTTAAATTAAAAACCTGAATTTTACTTTTAAATTATACTTTGCAGACAAACCCAAAATTAAATTACTTTTAAAAAGTTTATTTTGCTTGATAATTTTTACTCTTTTTGGTTGTATATTGTAAAGAGAAATAATTTGAATATTTTACTTTTTTTTACTCATCTCAAATATATATGGAATGCGAAAAGAAAAGTCGAAGCAACATACTTTTGAAAACTTACCTTAACAGTTCCCAACCCATAGAATTCAACCTTCTCTCCGGTTGGGGCATGTCCCTTAAAAGGACCCTCAAAGAAACCCCAATGCCTGTACTTGAAAGCAATTACAGGAGGTCCAGAGTAAACACTGATGATTTCCCATGCAAATCCACGAGGAAAAGCTGAACGAAAAACTTCATGAGATGATTCAAAGGTTTCTTCGTCTGCTTTGTAGTATTGGAACTCCTTTGGTAGAGAATTCTTCAATAGTGCATTGTAAGTCCCAAGTTTTAGTGTCTCTTCTCCTGTCAATCCTTCTCTTCCTGCAATCACCGTGCAAGTTTAGCAAGTTATAATTGTTTAGTACTTCACATAATTCTTTTAACAGCATCGAGATTAATTCTAAGATTAATCATGTCATGTGATTTAGGTGATGTTTGATATGGAATGATCATTTCAAAATTTATAATCATCTTAGTGATTAAATTTTTTTATCTATTAAAAATTTAATAATCCTACATGATAGTGATTTAAGATCGTCAAGCTGTGATGACTTATAAAGATCAATTACTTTTTGTCGTCACCTTTTGTTTTTCCTTTTTGGTAATTGAAAGTTTGGAGGATGTTATCTCCTTCTAAAATCAGGGCATATTGCAGGTCTTAGAAAAAACTTATTTGAACTTAAAGATTGTTCACAAAGGAAATTTTTGGCAGGAATCGGACTTAGACTTTATAAATAAAGTGTTCGATTCTTACCAACTCAATTAACAAAAAAAGATTGAATGAAATAGTTACATCATATCAACATATATAATTTTTATTCAAATCATGTTACATAATCATATTATTAAAAAAATTAATTATTCATTATAAAATTATTAATTAATATATTAAAATAAATATTTACTATTTAATTATTACATGTGATGTGTAATATAAGATTGATTTTTTCTATAAGATTGGTTTTTTCTAATAATATAATTACGTGATATAATTTAAATGAAAGTGATATATGTTGACATGACATAAATGTTTCATACAATTTTTTTCTCCAACTAACCCATTATCACATTATTTTCTTTGTATGTATAAACTCCTTGTTTTTCTAGTAGCAAATTGATTATTATTTTGATAAATTAAATCCATTTTTCTATTCAAAGATTTTCATCTGATTAAAAGGTTAGGGCTTAAAAGTTAGTTCATAAAAAATAATATTTGATTAATTACAACTTATTTAAGAAATAAAATAGTAAAAAAAAAAAAAAAAAAAGGATGAAAAATAGGTGGAGTAATTCTCAAGATATTAAACCATTTGCGTACCATTAACGATGAGCTTGAATTTTTCAGGGTTAATGCACTTGACGTCTTGTAAGCGAACCTTGTGGGAAATTTCCATCTCCCATGACTTAATAGCATTTTGCACTGTTTCTTCAAGTGATCCTTCTGCCCATTCCTGTAAAGACATACAAAAAACTTTGCATCCGATTAACATTTGACTCGATAATTAATGTATATAATTTACTCAAAGAGTCGGTGCCGAATCCCGATATCCAGTCCCCAAAATTTCGAAAGAGAAAAAATCGAAAACTTAAAATCATGAAATAAAAATTGAAAAAACTTGGTGAGAGTAAAGAAAAGAACTAGGCTTTGGGGACACCTTGGTTCGGCCTTCTTCAAAGAGCTGATTAACAGCATCATATGTTGGAGGGCCACCATGTCGCCATTGAACGGTATCTGGTTCATCATGCAGGAAAGACCTGTACTTATCTCTTGCTGGAACTGTAGCCATGCTAGACTATTTGACAATTTTCACTTGAAGAGCAGCTACTGGTGGTTAGCTTTTATAGGAGAAAACATGGCAACATCAATCTTAATTACTTCCACCATTACCCAACTAAAAAAAAGGGTTAAAAGTATCAAAGAAAAATTAATAATTTGTAGACGACTGTTAGGTTGATTGTATGATCTTAAGAGTTATAAATAAAGTTATATAATATACAATCAGTTCTAAAATTTAAAATTTGAGTTCTAATCTCATTGGTAGTCTAAAAAAATTTTAATATAATTTATAATTTAAAGTTTATTATAATTAGTAATCTAAAATTTAAAATTTCGAGCTCAAATCTCATTGAATTCCAGAAACAAGCAGGGTCAACGGAGGCCTTTTCAGACAATTTAGAAATGAAAATATTGTCGCTTTCCTTTCTTTCTGTAATAATGCTGGGCCTCCCATTATTTGGGATTTTCTTGCATATGATCTACATCATGACTAGTCATCCATGCATAGAAAGCTAGTTCTAATTAATTAAAATTACTTATTTTAAACATATTTTAACGCCAAAATAATTCTATTGATTACCACACATCATTTATATACCCTTATAGATTTTACAAATTCACTATTTCCCCTTCATTTATTATTATTTTTTTGCCTATTACCTTGTTTAAATTGAGTTAAACCAATAAAAGGTTAATTTATAAATTAATCTTTAAATTATATCACTTTTCATTTTTTGATACTTAAAAAACAAATTTACAATTTGGTACCTTAATTTGGTTTCCATCAAGCATTTTGAACTGTTAACTAATAACATTAAATAAAATAATGACATGATAGATGTTGACTGATGAAAATACAGCATGTGTCATGATTTTATTTATTAACCTCTTACCACATCAACAAATTATTAACAATTGAGGATGGGGGCATATATGTCATAATGAAATTTTGGGTACTATATCATAAAATTTTTTTTATAAACATCAAATCATAAAAAATGATATAATTTAAGGATCAAATTACATATTAAGCTTAAAAAATTGAAAATTTTGACAATGGAAACTTTCGCCTTAGATTATAATGAGAGATGCCAATAGTTTTTTTTTTTTAATAAAGTTATAATTATAAATTATAATCATAATCAAGTATTACTTTCATATAAAAAATTATTGAATAATTAAATAAACAAACCACCAAACAAACTAAAATATAAGTAGATAATTTTAATATAAAATTGAATTAAACTAACATACAATGAGACTCGATCCTAAAATCTCAAAATTTTAAAACTTTTTCCTTACCAGTAAGCTAAGGCTTCATTGTCAAATATGCTGATAGTTAGGACGTGCCATTTTACTACAAAAGTTTTGAATTTGAATTTTTAGATGAAAAAAATTAGATTTTATTATATGAGAAAGGACTACAATTAATTAGATAATTTAATATATCACATATATGTGAAAAAAAAAAACAAAATTAGTAGTGTTGAGCACATCATTAGCATACAAAATAATTAGGATATATGATCACTTCTTTTTATCTAAAAACAAAAATAATTAAGATATCCAACATTAGTCCAACTTTATTCAGTTTGTTTATTTTTTTTATTTGTTGGTTAATTGATTTTTCTATATATATATATATATATATATATAATTTTTAATAAAATTTAAAATTTAACTCAATTGATTCATTGTTACCTTTAAAAAATAATATATAATAAGTTTGGAGTTTAAATCTTAATACATGTAATTAATGTTTTTATCCTCATATAACGATCTCTTATTTACTAAAAAAATTCCTAATGAAAAATTTACTTGTAATTTTAATCAATGAAAAATTTTAATAAATTCCTAAGATAGCTTGCTTTCCGTTTTTTTTTTTTTTTTAATTTTCAAGAAACAAATTAAAAAAAAAAAAAACACATGACATTTGGTTTTAATTTTGTTATTAATAGTGAGTGGCAAATGGCAATCAAGCCATATGCTGGAATTAATAACATATTTTAAAAGCTCACCAGACATATCGTACCAATGTTTATGGTCCTTCAACTGTTAGGAATCAAGAAAATTTAATATTTTTAAGATTCTTCCTGCAGATTAACTAATTTATATAGAATATATATCTGATCAATTTAAAATTGAAATAACTTACCATAGCACATTGTTATAAAATCCCAATCTTCACATTATCAATTTTTTATTTTTATCAAGGTTCAATCTCAAATTGAAATAATAAAACGAAAATTTATTTTTATCGATCATTCAAATGAAGTTTTGGTGTCTACTTTTTTTTTATTGTTAATTTTTCAGTTATTAATTGACTTATGGTTTTGTATCTTTAATTAATATATATTTGTGTAAATTAAAACTTTTATGTCTCCATTTAATTTATGAGTGTGTATAATTTTTGTATGCACTTCAAATGTAATTAATTGATCAGGGGTCCGTATTGAGAGAGAAAGGATCTACCATCTAATAGCCAATGATTCGACAACGATATTATAAGTATCGACCACATTTCTCCTCTCAAAGCATTCAAAAGATAAAATTATAAAGAAAGCTACATCAAATGTCTAAAACAGATAATATTTCGTATTATGTACAATCCAATAATATTTATACGAACAAATTCATTTATTATATAGTTTTATTAGCTAGACAACCTTTATTTTTGTTTCTATCTATATTTCACTATCTTATGATAAAGAGGATAATAATTAGGGATGTAATCGAGCCGAGTCGAGTTAAATAGTGAAAAGTTCGAGTTCGAGCTCGACTCACAACTCGAAGCTTGATACTATGCTCGAGCTCGATCGAGTTTTATTTTTCAAACTCGAACTCGAATCGTGATCGAATTTGAGCTACTCGAGCTCGTTCGATTAAGTTCGATTAATATGTAAAAATAAGTTCGATTTGTATACTCGACAAGAGTTCAATTATTCATGCTCGAACTCGAACTCGGACTCGAAATATTTTATTAACTAATATAATAAAAATATATTTAAATATAAAAGCTCGATTAGGCTCGCGAGCTATTCGAGTCGGATATAAGAATATTCGAATTCGACTCGATCGATAAGTCGAACTACTCGAACTTGAGCTCGACTCGATAATAATCGAACCGAATTCGAGTTTTTTTCGAATCAAATCCAAGTAACTTGTAAGTACTAATATATTATTTACACATCTAAGAATAACTGGATAAAGAAATAAGAGGAATAAAGCTTTAAAAGGGTGAAAAAAGAGAAAAAAAAAAAAAAAAAAAAAAAAAGGAAGAAGAGGAAAAAAGAGAACAAAGTAACATTGATGACAAGCTACTTTTCTTAATTGTACCAAATTAGAAAGGGTAACAAAATTTAATGGTTAGAAATTTAATTTAATTATATGGTTATCCTTTACAGGCATTTTGATTTTTTTTTCCAAGATTTGATGTTAAACACATGTATCATGAATACTTTCTTTGAAGGTGGATCCTTCAAAAAAAAAAAAATTTGTAATGTCGAAAGGCTATAGTCAAATTGATGCTCAAGTTGGAAAATTAAACAAAAGAAAAAAGACTTGTTAAAAATGGTGAAACTTTATTCACCTATCAATTCTTCGGACCCACTTTTGAATAGGCTTCGGATCCTTCACCACCAACAACTTTGACATTTTGCCCTCAAATGGATAAGCCATTAATTTCTATGATTAATTCACAACCAATCACTTTAAATTGGTTTTTTTTTAATAAAAAAAAGTTAAAATTTAAAAATAAAAGAAATAATTATAAGTATTGAGATTTAAATTTTAAATTTATTAAATATTATTTTTTAAAAAATAATTATATGAATTAACGATTTAAACTTTAAAATTTCTTTAATATTAAGTGAGGTTCGATTCCAATATATAAAACCATGTTATTTTTTAATCTGTTGGTATGTAAAAATTGAAATATTATTATATATATGAAGAAATAGTTTTGGATTATTATTTAAGTCTTTCTCATAGCTTATCTTTAATTAATTACTTTTTTTAATCGTACCTTACATTGAAAATTTGAAATTTAATAAAATTTCATGCAATTTCTAGTATTCCTCACTTATTAATTATTATAAAAGTATTTAATTTAATGATTAAAGATATCCAAATCCTATATTAACAACTAATCCACCTTAATTAGAAGCTATATGTTGAGTTATATGTATACTACAATATATTATAGTAACATGATCAAAAATATTTTTATAATATGTTAAAAATATTTTTAAATTTTGTCTGAATTTAATCTTTTAAAATGATGCACTTGTCTACAATAATAACAATTTTTTATTCTAAAACAAAATTAGTAATTAGCCAAAAAAATTAATATGGAGGAAATTAAAGTAAAAGTGGGCCAAACTTGTTTCTAGCAAAATTGTTTGATTCAATTATGAATCAAACAATTAATGGTTTTGGAAGTTTCAAACTTGTAGTACTAGATAAGAACCTAATAAAGAATAATTGATCAATATTAATAATAAAATTTATGACAAAATCTATTGCTAATGTCATAGTGCATGTATATTTAAGCTATATCCAATCAATCTATCAAAAAAAAAAACAAAGGTATATGCCGATCAAAAGAGCTTGATTCTTTCTTTTACCAAATGGTTATCAGCTTCAACAATGGGCCCGATTTTTTATTATTGTTGTGCATAGATTTGTCAATAATTTTTATTAAGGTATATGTACTAAAGTCTCCCTACCTTTTACTTAATGGAAATCAATGAAGCAGACTAGTTAATTGGATCAATGGAGGATTGAATTGCTCAACTTGTTTTTTTTTTACTTGGGTTTTCCTGTTGTCATCGGAATCTTCTAAAGAAAATTTGTAAAATCATATGAATATATAAAATTAAGTTTTGAATAAAATTATTCATTTTATCAGTGCTTTTATTTTTTTATTTTTTGCTTTTTTAATCAAAAATAAAAGGCAACGAATATAAAATGAATTAAAAATAAGGAAGAAATAACAAAATGCAAAAACATCAATTAAACAAAATATAAATATTTTAAGAAAATATTAAATCATATTTTTTTCTTACATATATATATATATATTGTGGATGCATGTTTAATGAATACGTTGTCTCCCAAGTTAAAGATTAGGGTTTCAAATTCAAGGAACCTATATTTTTTTAGTGACATAAAATATGATTGGTGATTCATTGGCAAATAAAAAAGAAGAGTCTTTTGGATGTATGTGTAAAACTCAGCCTAATTGACGGAAACTGACAAAGAGATATTTTTCGTTTTTCCGTCCGTTTTAGCTTTTGTTGTCATTTTCTTGTTGCAAATGGGAGGCTTGAACTTATTTTATCCCAAAAATCACGTTCTCCCTTGGGACCAAACTTGAAGGGATTATTAATTGGCTAATCAAATGGGCCAATCTCCTGCTATGAACTTTGAAAAGGGGGCGACTTCCGAAAGGGAGAGAAAGAGAGAGAAAGAGGTACCAACAACAAAGACATTGGTGATGATCAAAGGCTAGTGTTTCCATTTTCCTCTTTCAAGCTTGTAGACTTTGAATCCCCCTCTCCCCTCTTGTTTTGTTCTTTAATAATTGAAAAATTTTCAATCCCTCTCCCTCTCCCTTTCCCTCTCCCTACTTATTTTGTTTGGGTATGTGGAAAAAGGGTAATGGGATGAGGATGTGACTCATCTAAACCTAGTCCTCAATTTTTTTCTTTCAGCTCAGCTTAATTAGGCTTGAGCAACAGAGAAACCAAAGTAAAAGAAATAAATATTGGTGGTAGAGTACCCTTTCATGTATGGACGTTTGATATCCAGTTGAGCAAATCTGACGTGCCATAAAAGGGGGTGGGCAGCCAGTCACCTTGAAATCGAACCAATTATTAATGCTTAATTAATTAATGCTTTCTATTTCAAAATTTTTTGACTAATTATTAATTCAATTTCAAATACACTTCAGCATATCCATGTTTCACTTAAAAACACAATTATCATCAGTATTTGCTACAAAATTTGCATTTTTTTTTCAAAATTAAAAACCTGAGAGATTATTTGATGGGTTTAGTTGTAGCATTAGCAGAACTTAAAATTTCCTGTTGCTGATGAATTCCTTGTCGTTGTTGAATCGATTTTCGCTCTAGCTCTCGCCATTTGTTAATTCCGATGGTAAAGAGAACTGTTGCAAATAAACAAATAAAGAATCAAAACAACTTTTTTTTTTAGGTAAAAAAATAGAAAAGAGATCAATTGAAGTTATTTACATCCGGCGCCGACGAAGATGAGGAGGCGGAGGACTCTGGGGCCGGGCGGACCCGCTGCTTCGTCTGCTGTCATTTTCACTCCCTTGCCTCGGCCAAGGTTTGGGAACTGATGGTAAGCTCAGCTGAGAACTTTGAGAAAGAAATTTAGTGGTTTTTCAGTAAATAGTGATGAGAGAAAAGGGCATAGCGGGAAAAGGGGAGATATGAGTCAACGTCCGGACTTTTCTTTTCTCGCTTTGGGGTTAACTAAACAAGCCACTATGCTATTTCTTCCCTTCACATTTTTTTTTTTAAGTGAAGTTATTTAATTATTTTTTATTCTAATTTAAAGTTTTTTGAATATATATTTTTAATAAATTATATAATTTTTTGGATGTATATTTTTGATAAATTATACTAAAAATATATATTATATTAAAAACATATTCGACAAAAATTTTAAAAAAATTATATTTAAGTTTAAGAAAAAAAAGTCAAAAAATATATATTTTATATACATTTTAAATTTTAAAATATAAGAATTTTAAAAAATTTTCAAATATACAAATTCAAAAATTTTTAAAGATTTTCGATATACAAATTTAAAAATTTTTAAGATATTTTGAATTTGTAAATCCAAAAATTTTTAAACATTTTTAAAATGTAAAAAAGGGTGTTAAGACAAAAAAATAATTAAATAATTTTATTAAAAATAATTTAAGAAAAGGTTAAAAGAGTAAAATGATACTGCATGAATAGAATTTTTTTTAATAATTTAAAAATATAGTTTTAATTTTAAATCTGGAAATTAGATTTTATTCTAACTTTTTTTTTTCTTTCAATTTTGATGATTATAATTTTATTTTTAATTTTAATTAAGTATTAAAAATTTATTATTCTTTTTTGCCAACAAAAAATGTATTACTAAATAAAAAATAATAAAGTTTAATTACTAAATTATTTCGCCGATTTTAAAATTAAATTTTTTGGAAATTTTTTTTCAAATTCACTTAATACTATATCAATCATATAAATGCTTTAAATATTGTATCATATTATTTTTTATCATCTTTATATTTTTAATTTAGCTCACACCTTAAGCAACTTTTATAACTACCACTTAAAGTTGAAAAAAAAATTACTAAAAGTACTTCTACTCTAGTATTTTGTATATGATTTATCCAAAAAAAATATTTATATTTGTATTATTTTAGGGATAAAATATTAATTTATCACTTTGTTTAAAATGATAGATTAAATTTACAATTATTTTAAATAAATGTAATTTTATTATTGCAATTTTTAATTTGATTGAAAAAAAATCATAAATTTAAATATTATAAAACATTCTATTTTTTATTATTTTTATTTGAATTAAAATTTATAAAATTAAATTTAATCCATTAAAAAATAAATCTTAAAAATGATAATTTCTCTTTAGATTTTATCTTTACCATTTATTTTTCTTTTTATATTTTCTCAATATTACAAATCATTATTTTATTTTTTATATTTTTTTGGTAATTACAACACATTTAATATTTTACTATAAAAAAAAAATTTGCATTTCTTTTTGTCCCTTTCTCTCTCTTACGACCCCTGCCTTCGTTTTTCTCCCTTTTTCTCTTTTTCTTGTCAATTAAACGTTATTTCTTCTTTGGTAATCGAAGGAAAGCAAATAAGATGGAGAGAAAGCAGAGCTCCAAATCTAAGTTGAATATAGCCATCATACACCCAGATCTTGGCATTGGTAATTTCTGTTTACCCTTTTTCTCCTTTTATTCCTTTTTATTTCTGTTTTAAATTTCAGTTGTTTGTCTTAGTTCATTTATTAATTTTTATGTTTATGATGAAAAAAAAAATTTTAGGTTGCTGAAAAAATTGAAGAAATCAACAAAAAAAAAGAAAGAAATTTTTTAAGGTTTATTTTGGTAAAATTTGGTGGATTTTTAGGTCTCAAAGTTTAATTTTTGGGTGGAAAAGGCTTAATCTTGATTGAGATTATTAGGTTCTATAGCCAATATCGTTTTTTGTTTTTCCAAATTAAAAAAGGATAAACTTTTATGATTTTACTCATCTGTTGTGATTTAAAGGTGGAGCTGAAAGATTGATTGTTGATGCGGCTGTTGAATTAGCATCCCTTGGGCACAATGTTCATATTTTCACAGCTCACCATGACAAAAATCGATGCTTTGAGGAAACCCGCGCCGGTAAATTTGTTTTTCCCACTTTTCTTTCAATAATTTTAACTTCTTATTTGTGATGTTAAGGATGAACAGATTGGGAAGATGATTTTTTGACCAAATCATAGTTTGTTTACTGATGTTAATTTGGAGAATTTAGTGCATATGGTTTATTAAAATTAATAGAGTGAGCGTACTGCTTGACTATAGCTGAGCCAGGACATAGAATTCGAAGCTATTGTTGAAGTGGAAGAATGTCTGAAATTTGAATTACACCTTTTATTCATAGTCATTCATTTGTCTAACTGAAATTCATTTAACCCGTCATGGATATCCAGGTATTTTTCCAGTTACAGTATATGGTGACTTCCTTCCACGACATATTTTCTATCGTCTTCATGCTGCTTGTGCATATCTGCGCTGCGTCTTTGTTGCACTTTGTATGCTGTTCATGTGGCCATCATTTGATGTTATACTAGCAGACCAGGTCTCTGTTGTCATCCCATTGTTGAAACTTAAAAAGTCCATGAAGGTATATGGAATTAATTTTTGTGAATTGTTATCTAGAATTCCCACTGTGATAGCTCTTTCACGCAGAGCTCCTTTTTTTGTAGGTTGTATTCTATTGTCATTTTCCAGATTTGTTACTAGCTCAACATACAACTTTTCTGAGGAGGATATACCGGAAACCTATTGATTTTATAGAAGAACTGACAACAGGTTGGTTCCACATAGTGGCTCTTTGTTCTCACGGAATATGTAATATAGTGTTCATCAGATATGTTCATTTGCTATTGGGATGCAGGAATGGCTGATTTGATACTGGTCAATAGCAGATTTACTGCTTCTACCTTTGCAAAAACATTCAAGCATCTTCATGCTCGAGGAATTAGACCAGCTGTTCTTCACCCTGCAGTTAACGTGGATCAGTTTAATGAGCCCCATTCTTATAAGTAATCAACATGCTCGTGCATCCCTTGGTCTCATTTTATTCTTAGAAAATTTTTAAAATCTCATGTCTAAACATTTCTTCAATTATGTAAAACTTACCACCATACTCTGAACTTTGTATTGTTGCTTTGGCTAGGTTGAATTTTCTCTCTATCAATCGCTTTGAAAGGAAAAAGAACATAGATTTAGCAGTTTCTGCTTTTGCGATGCTTCAGTCCCTTGAAGGAAATGTTCATCAAACTTCTAACTGGGCTGATGCTAAGTTGACAATTGCTGGCAAGTTCCCTTCTCATCCACTAGTAGTACGAGTGACTGATAGATTTTGATAAAAATGAGTGATGCTAGAAGATTCAAACTACAACTTAACATGATTCCCTTACTGGTCTTTAATACAACTAGGGTTGGCAACGGGTCGGGGCGGGTTTTTGCTAGCCCCGAACCTGACCTGACTTTATATTCATTAAACCCAAACCCGAACCGAAAATTTTTTATTTTTTTAATACCCGAACCCGATATTATATATGACTCGACCCGAAATTAATAAAATATTATTTTTTAAAATATAATTTTTTTAAAATATAAATTTTAAATATATAATTATATAAATATATATAAATAAAAAATTAAATAAAAAATTTAAAAAATTATTTTTATATAATATCGGGTCGGGTCAAGTTGAGTTTGTCTAAAACCCGAACTCGACCCGACCCCGATCTTTTTCTTAGTATTATCCGACCCGAAATCCGATTTTTTTAAAAAAATGACCCTATAGGCTCGGGTCGAGTCGGAACCCGCTAGGGGCGGGTTTGGTTGCCCACCCTATATACAGCCGACCCTAGATTATGGGATATAAGGCTTAGTGTAGTGTTGTTGTATGGAATGAGTATTTCAACTATGTTTGTGACTTATAAGTGTATTATTTTTGTTTAAAAAAATAAATTTTGCTGTGATATGGTTGAGTCCTGGCCATCTTTGTAGTTGCCCAGTATGCTATTATGCTGCATTTTCAGAATAAACAAACAGGTTAAAAAGTCTGATTAAATGTGATAGGCATTCAACCCTGATAGATCCAGCTGATACATTGGGGTATATTGTAATAGGACAGATGCTTTGTTGGCTGGTATATTTGACATGTTCTGCTTACTCATCATTACATGGGTAGGTTGGAAAGGCAGAACTTTAATTATGTTGCACCTGGTTTTCCATAGAAGAAAAAGGAGCATTGTGATCCAGTTCTTTCGCTTAAGTGCTCATCTTTATGCTGCAAAAATGTGAGAGCAATATGGTTGCTAATATGGATAATAAATGGTTTCCTTCTTTCTCCTTCTTCTTATTGTATTACTTCCTACAGAAATATAAATAATGCATTTCGTCTGTTTTTTTAGGTGGATATGATAGACGCCTAAGGGAAAATGTTGAGTACTTGGAGGAGCTCAAAAGCTTAGCTGAGAGGGAAGGAGTGGCTGATCGGGTTAATTTTTTTACGTCTTGCACAACAGAAGAAAGGAATTCTCTGCTCTCTCAATGCCTATGTGTCCTTTATACACCGACAGTATGTTAGCATCTATTATTCTCAAGAAAAATTGGTTGGATTGATGAAAGAAAAGTAGGTTGTAACATACAAAGATTTCCAATTCAATGTAGGATGAACACTTTGGCATTGTTCCATTGGAGGCAATGGCAGCATACAAACCTGTTATAGCATGCAACAGTGGGGGTCCACTGGAAACAATTAAGAATGGGGAAACAGGATTTCTTTGTGATCCAACTGCAAAGGACTTTGCTTTGGCCATGGCTAAACTCATTCAAGACCCAGAGGTGGCAAAGAGAATGGGGGAACAGGCTAGGCAGCATGTCAATGAATCATTTTCTACAAAGATATTTGGCCAGCGTTTGAATCAGTTTCTTCTGGATGTTGTTAAAAGCAAGCAGGACTGAAAATGGGGAATAGGCAATGATGATGACCTTTCCTCTACATAATTTTGCAGACATTGTCAACATTATAGTAAAAATGTTAGAAGTGTTTTCTTTCTGCAATTGAGATAAAAAAAAAAAAAATTCTGCAATGAGATTTCATCAGTTTTTCCGTCATATACAAATATAAATACTTTTTTTTGGATAAATCAAATACAAAATACTAGAGTAGAAGTACTTTTAGTAATTTTTTTTTCAACTTTAAGTGGTAATTATAAAAGTTACTTAAGGTGTGAGCTAAATTAAAAATATAAAGATGATAAAAAATAATATGATTCAATATTTAAAGCATTTATATGATTGATATAGTATTAAGTGAATTTGAAAAAAATTTTCCAAAAAATTTAATTTTAAAATCGGTGAAATAATTTAGTAATTAAACCTTATTATTTTTTATTTAGTAATACATTTTTTGTTGGCAAAAAAGAATAATACATTTTTAATACTTAATTAAAATTAAAAATAAAATTATAATCATCAAAATTGAAAGAAAAAAAAAGTTAGAATAAAATCTAATTTCCAGATTTAAAATTAAAACTATATTTTTAAATTATAAAAAAAATTATATTCATGCAGTATCATTTACTCTTTTATCCTTTTCTTAAATTATTTTGAATAAAATTATTTAATTATTTTTTTGTTTTAACACCCTTTTTTACATTTTAAAAATGTTTAAAAAATTTTGGATTTACAAATTCAAAATATCTTAAAAATTTTTAAATTTGTATATCGAAAATATTTAAAAATTTTTGAATTTGTATATTTGAAAAATTTTAAAATTCTTATATTTTAAATTTTAAAATGTATATAAAAAATATATTTTTGACTTTTTTTTTAAACTTAAATATAATTTTTTTAAAATATTCGAATATGTTTTTAATATAATATATATTTTTAGTATAATTTATCAAAAATATACATCCAAAAAATTATATAATTTATTAAAAATATATATTCAAAAAAACTTTAAATTAGAATAAAAAATAATTAAATAACTTCACTTAAAAAAAAAAAAAAGAATGTGAAGGGAAGAAATAGCATAGTGGCTTGTTTAGGAAACCCCAAAGCGAGAAAAGAAAAGTCCGGACGTTGACTCATATCTCTGCTTTTCCCGCTATGCCCTTTTCTCTCATCACTATTTACTGAAAAACCACCAAATTTCTTTCTCAAAGTTCTCAGCTGAGCTTACCATCAGTTCCCAAACCTTGGCCGAGGCAAGGGAGTGAAAATGACAGCAGAAGAAGCAGCGGGTCCGCCCGGCCCCAAAGTCCTCCGCCTCCTCATCTTCGTCGGCGCCGGATGTAAATAACTTCAATTGATCTCTTTTCTATTTTTTAACCTAAAAAAAAAAGTTGCTTTGATTCTTTATTTGTTTATTTGCAACAGTTCTCTTTACCATCGGAATTAACAAATGGCGAGAGCTAGAGCGAAAATCGATTCAACAACGACAAGAAATTCATCAGCAACAGGAAATTTTAAGTTCTGCTAATGCTGCAACTAAACCCATCAAATAATCTCTCAGGTTTTTAATTTTGAAAAAAAATGCAAAATTTGTAGCAAATAATGATGATAATGTCATCCACTCATCATATTGTTTCTGTTTTTATTTCTTATTCTAGAAATTTTTAATTTTGTAGCAAATTTTGCACTGATGAATTAATTATTTTGGTTCAATAGCATATACTGAATATATTTGATTATGGGTTCTCATGTTTTGTCATAATTTTTTAATTTTTAAATGAAAATTGCATTTACTTGCAATATTTGATGCTTGGTGTTGAGTTTTAGATGAATTATGTACGTTAGTTGAATTCTATTAGGGAAAACCTTGAATGTTAAGGAATAGGCGTTTAAGGGCCAAAAATTGGTGAAATTTTGAGTCCTGGAAACGGATTTATGAACAATGGTGAGAGAACTTTCAGCACTTGTAAAGAACCAAATAAGCCAAACACGAAGGGGAAATCCGCATTGCAAATATGAAATGAAGTTACATTGAGGAAGATGAGGAATGCACGTATGACCTATGGATGTTGGTGCCTGTTGTTTGTGGATGAAGAGAATGAGCCTTTTTTGGATGAGAACTGAGAGATTTAGGTTGGAACTACTATAGAGCCTAGCAAAGGGATGGAGTAGGAGATATTTTGAATAAGTATACTATTTAGAAATCCTTTTTGGATGCCAATTTTCCATTTCCATCTGTCTTCGTTCTATTGATTCTTGTGACGGTGGTTGATAATTGAATCTGATGACTTGGATCAGATGAGAACCTTTGTTGAAACTTGAAAGAGATTAGACTTTGAACAAGCTGCATGGAAGTAGATATTCACTAGCATTAATTTCTTTGGTATTTGGCCCCATTTAAACACTGAATCTGCATTGGCTCATTACATTTGTGATTAATATTTTCTGTAATAATCACCTTAGTAGATACATAGCTGTTGTTCTCTTTTCTGGCTCCTCAGCTGAAGAGGATGATCTGAGTGGCATTTCCTTTGCTAGCTTTTAAGTTTCATCTCCGAGACTTTTTACTAGTTTTCAGACAATCCAGAGTAGCAAATTATCCGTCTTTCAAAACCCCCTTAATCTTTCCCTTTGTTTGATGTTTCATATTCAAGATTCATGTTAAGCAAATGTACTTCAAATGAGATCATACAATTCTCTGTATAAGAAGCTGACAAGAATTTGAATAGCTGACCAGGCAAAATATGCTTGCAGTGCTCTCCTCTCTAGCTCCTACCTCAATCATTCTTTTGTCTGTTGCAAACCTGCCTTGTTTCTTTTTGTTCTTTTCTTGGCTGCAGCAACTACTACAACATACAGAGATTCATCATACTAAATTTTGGTTCTTTTTTTATGACTATTTTGCATTGCTTTCAGTTTGCAAAATGCAATTACTTGTGTAGTTTTTATGTAGCTCATGTTGTCTAGGTGATGATGAAAAAATAGGTCATCAATCAAATCATAACCTCCGAAACTAATGAACATTTCTGGCATGATTAAAACTTGCAAGGAAGCAATTATGAGCTTGTAATTACTGTATTTGTAGATTTGTAGATTTTACATACTTTGGATTTAGGAAGAGTACACCTGCCATGAGAATGAGCAGATGTCCAGAAAATTCATGGGCCTGTTTGGTGAGATGTTGGCTTTATATTGGACCTGTAACTAGGCCAGGAAGCCTCCCAAGCAAGCCTGGGTCGTTTTTATTGACTTCAAATTATTGTCCTGCACCCATGGACAAGGTTTCCAAATTAGCTAAAAATGGAAAAAGAGAGAATTGAATAAATTTAGTTTTTGAAAAGTTATAAAAAGGCTTTTTGAGCCAAACATTTGAATCCGATTGTTTGAGGAACGAATGTATGTGAAATTTTATGCCCAAATTGGAACATGTAAATCCTCAAGTGACCTTTCCATTTGTTTCACATAATTACCAATGAGGGTAGTCAATAGAAACAAGTATAAAACATTCCTATCTACAAAACCAATTAATCCATGGATTAGGACAGGAGGAAATGATGATTTACCTTCCATTATTGAGGCTAAAAATGTAAAAAGAAAATAGTAGTGGCGAGTGCCACTCAATGTCGTTTTCTGACCATTGATTCCTTTTGTTAGACTTTGGTGAAACATTGGCTAAATCATTCTCATAGCCTCTAACCCAACTACCCTAACAATCTCAATCACATTTCAAGGGACCAAACTCTCTTCAACTTTCTGCAATGACAGCCACTAGACCTGAGTTTCTTAGAGGATTTCTTCTTTTTTCCTTTTTGGCTGGAAATTCCCTTAGCTAGCTCCCATTCAGAGTCAGAAATCAACATCCTCAGTGTACTACCGTAATCATTACTCATTTTTGCTTTTTTTTTTTTATCCATTCTACTTCAATCTAATGATAATTAGTTTTACATTTCTCCAACTAATTCAGGTTTTTTTTTTCTTTTTCAAAAATTAAAATTTGATTTTTGAAATTATTATTTTATTAATCGATCACACAACTGTTTACGATTTAATGACTCACGATATAAAGATATTATTATCTTTTATTTATGATTTGGGTAATTACTTATCAATAGTTATAATTAAGATTGAATCTCTGATAATTTAAATATATATAAAAAAAATTGGCGGTCCTTATCTGTGACAACTGTTTTGATAAGAGTGCAAAAAGAAGATGAAACATGAGGATCAGTATTAATTTTAATCATGGGTTGGTTGTGAGAATAACATTACTTCAAGTAAACAAGTCCAGAGAAGGAGAGAAATAGAAATAACAATGCCCCCCATGACAAATTTGGTCGTACTAGTCATATGTCAAGGTGGGAAAACCAAACATATGTGTGATCAAGTCAAACAAGAAGAACCCTAATAATGTCTTGGATTTCTCTGTTCTATCTAGCTATGGCTTCCTTCAGTTTTGTCCCTTTTTTTTTTTTTTACAACGTAGACACCAAATCCATGATTTGTATCCCATCACCAACATGAAAATCAACTGTAGGTTGGTGTGATCAAGGACTTATAATTGTTGGAGGAGTTTATGTAAGTTCGTTTTTGATCAATTTATCACTTTTCTCATAATAAAATTTATGGTATGTTGGTTGGGTGTCCGAGGGGGCCCTTAATGCATGGAAGATAATGGATGTCTACACATATTTACGTAAATGGCTTAAATACTAAAAAAAGTTTTTTTATTATTTAATTTTTCTTAAATAAGTTTATATATTTTTATTGTATCCAAATAAGTTTTTGTTTTTTGATTTGTATCCCAATAAATTTTTATTTCAAATAATAATTAATCTATGTTAAAAACTTATTTAGGTATAAATAAAAAGATAAGGGTTTATTAAATATAAATTAAAGTTTTAGAGTTTATTTGTGTGTGAATTTAAAGTTAAAAGTTTATTTTAATATAATCAAAGTATAATTACTTATAAAATTGATAAATTTCAGGGACTTCTTTTTTTTTATTATTTTAGCCCATGTCAATTTACATGAAAACACAAACAACCCATGCATATACGATACGGGGTCATTGTCCTTTGATCGAGGTAAAAAGTCAAAGTTCTTCTCTTTTTTTAAAATAATTTTTTTATGAGTAAATGTTATATTTATTATAAATTTCAAATTGTAATTGTCATAACAATTTTGAATATTGTTAGATGAAAATTTTAAATATTTTAAAATTAGAAAAGTAGCCATTAATTTTTTTTATTAGATATAATTAATCACTTAAAAGATTTATCTTTTAATAAAATCTTAAAATTTATTAAAAAGATTATTTTTGTTTACAAAAAATAAAATCCATTTCGAGATTACAATTACACATAAAGAAAGATTAGAACTAGCACATTAACAATGCTTATTTTAAAAATAGTCATAACTAATCACATGTTACCTTTTTTTTTTAAGTGATCTTAATTTTTATATTTAAAAAATAATTTTTTAAATTTTCTTTATTTTATCATAATTTTAATTTTTTTTCATTCCTTTCATTTTTTTTTACACAATTCTCTTCTCTTCTTTTTTAAAAATTATTATTTCATTTTTATTTGAAAAAATATATTAGAACTTTATTATTGAAAATTTCTTAAAATATTTCAATACGTTAGTAATATTAAGAAAAAATTTCTCACCTAATGATATATTAAGAATTGCTACTCAAACTTTTCAAGAATCTCATCTTCGGTGATTCATATTTATTTTCAAAATCAATATTTGTAACCCAAATAATCAAATCGCACTTATAATCTAACTCAAATAATTTTTTTTTATAAAAATTCATTTCTTATCTTTTTTATTAATTAAAAGATAAGCAAAACTTTATATTGAAAATTATTTTAAATATATCAATAATTTGGCAACGTTTTAGCAAAATTTTCTCACCTAAAAATTTTTAAAAAACTTTTTTAGAATCTTATCTTCAAAATTTTTTATTTTTTTCCTCAATTAAAAAAATTAATTAATGCAAATAATATTCATTCATTATTATGTATAACTTTGTTATGAAAACGAATTCATTTTTTCTTTCATCATTTTTTTATTTTTTTATTATTTTTTAAGGAAGAGAAAACGAAAATCATTTGTATTGAATTTTTTTTAAATACTCCATTATTTTGGTAATGTTTTAGAAAAATATTCTCACCTAAAATTTTTAAAAAATCATTACTCGAATATTTTTAATATCTCATATATCCTTGAAGATTTTTTGTTCTTTTTATTATTTTTTATATCTTTTTTATTTATCATTTTTTATTTTTTTATTTTTCATACATTTTTCACGCACATATTTTTTTAGTTTACTAACTTTTAAAACACCAATTTTCCTATTTTTAAAAAATATTTATTTATTTTAGGGATTTAAGACATAAATATTTATTAATAAATAAATAGGTAATAAAATTAAAAAAATAAAACAAAAAAACCCAAAACAGGCCGATCAACGTCTGTCAACGATCCAAGAAGTAGTTTGACTGGTTTAATGTGATTCAGGTAATTTTTTAAAGTCTAGAATGATTTTGGTCGATTTAAGCCAAGTTGAACTGGTTC